AGAAAAAAAAGGAAAAAAAGGGGGGAAAAATGGGGGAAAATGGGAAAAAATGGGGAGAAAATGAGAATTTGGGCCGGGATCCACCCGGGAGGGGTCTGGGGGGATTCCAGGCAGGAATTCCGCACGGGAATTGGGGATTTGGGGAATTCGGGGGGATTCAGGATTTGGGGAATTTGGGGAATTCAGGATTTGGGGTTCAGGAATTTTAGGATTCAGGAATTCAGGGATTTGGGAATTCAGGAATTTAAGGTTTCAGGGAATTCAGGGGATTCAGGATTTTGGGATTCAGGAATTCGGGATTCAGGAATTCAGGGAATTCAGAGATTTGGGGATTCCGGAATTCAGGAATTTAAGGATTCAGGGAATCCAGGAAATTCAGGATTTTGGGATTCAGGAATTCAGGAATTTAAGGATTCAGGGATTCAGGGAATTCAGGAATTCGGGATTCAGGAATTTAAGGATTCAGGGATTCAGGGAATTCAGAGATTTGGGGATTCAGGAATTTAAGGATTCAGGAATTCAGGAATTTAAGGATTCAGGGATTTCAAGCAATTTAAAGATTCAGGAATTCAGGATTTTGGGATTCAGGAATTCAAGGATTCAGGAATTTCAGGATTCAGGAATCCAGGGAATTCCGGGAATTCAGGATTCAGGAATTTAAGGATTCAGGAATCCAGGGAATCCAGGATTCAGGAATTTAAGGATTCCAGGAATCCAGGGAATTCAGGATTCAGGAATTTAAGGATTCAGGGATTCAGGAATTCGGGATTTTGGGATTCAGGAATTCAAGGATTCAGGAATTTAAGAATTCAAGAATTCAGGGAATTCAGGAATTCAGGGAATTCAGGGATTTGGGGATTCAGGAATTTAAAGCAATTTAAAGATTCAGGGATTCAGGAATTTAAGGATTCAGGGATTCAGGAATTCGGGATTTTGGGATTCAGGAATTCAAGGATTCAGGAATTTTAGGATTCAGGAATTTCAGGATTCAGGAATTTTAGGATTCAGGAATCCAGGGAATTCCGGGAATGCAGGGTGCAGGAATTCAAGGATTCAGGGAATCCAGGGAATTCAGGATTCAGGAATTTAAGGATTCAGGAATTTAAGGATTCAGGAATTTAAGGATGCAGGAATCCAGGGAATCCAGGGAATTCCGGGAATCCAGGGAATTCAGGAATTCAAGGATTCCAGGAATCCAGGGAATTCAAGGATTCAGGAATTTCAGGATTCAGGAATTTTAGGATTCAGGAATCCAGGGAATTCTGGGAATGCAGGGTGCAGGAATTCAAGGATTCCGGGAATCCAGGGAATTCAGGATTCAGGAATTTTAGGATTCAGGGAATCCAGGGAATCCAGGGAATTCAGGAATTTTAGGATTCAGGGAATCCAGGGAATTCAGGATTCAGGAATTTAAGGATTCAGGAATTTTAGGATGCAGGAATCCAGGGAATTCCGGGAATGCAGGGAATTCAGGAATCCAGGGATTCCGGGAATGCAGGGTGCAGGAATTCAGGGAATCCAGGGAATCCAGGGAATTCAGGATTCAGGAATTTCAGGATTCAGGAATTTTAGGATTCAGGGAATCCAGGGAATTCCGGGAATTCAGGATTCAGGAATTCAAGAATCCAGGGAATCCAGGGAATTCCGGGAATCCAGGGATTTCAGGATTCAGGAATTTTAGGATGCAGGGAATCCAGGGAATTCCGGGAATGCAGGGAATGTGGGGCTGGCTGACCTCGGCTCCCCTCGTCGACGCGCGCCGCCCGCACGAATCCGCTCTGGCAGCCGAGGGCCGAGAGCCGATGGCCGGAGCCGGGGAGGGGCTGGACGTGGAGCCACAGAACGCTGGGAAAAACGGGAAAAGAAACGGGAAAAATGGGAAAAATGGAGCCAGAGAATGGTGGGGGGAAAATGGGAAAAGTGGGGGAAAAAATGGGGATAAAAATGGGAAAAAAGGGGGAAAAAATGGGGGAAAAAATGGGAAAAATGGGGGAAAAAATGGGAAAAGTGGGGGAAAAAATGGGGATAAAATGGGAAAAGTGGGGGGGAATAATGGGGAAAAAAATGGGGAAAATGGGAAAAATGGAGCCAGAGAATGGTGGGGAAAATGGGAAAAGTGGGGAAAAAAATGGGGAAAAAATGGGAAAAGTGGGGGAAAAAATGGGGATAAAAATGGGGATAATGGGAAAAATGGGAAAGGAAATGGAACCAGAGAACGATGGGAAAATGGGGAAAAAATTGGGAAAATGGGAAAAATGGGGGAAAAAAATGGGGAGAAAAATGGGGAAAATGGGAAAAATGGGAAAAATGGAGCCAGAGAATGGTGGGGAAAAATGGGAAAAGTGGGGAAAAAAATGGGGATAAAAATGGGAAAAATGAGGGAAAAAATGGGGAAAAAATGGGAAAAATGGGGGAAAAAATGGGGAAAAAATGGGAAAAATGGGGGAAAAAAATGGGGATAAAAATGGGGAAAATGGGAAAAATGGGAAAGGAAATGGAACCAGAGAATGATGGGAAAATGGGAAAAGAAACAGGAAAAATGGGAAAAATGGAGCCAGAGAATGATGGGAAAAAATGGGAGAAGTGGGGAAAAAAATGGGGATAAAATGGGAAAAGTGGGGGGAAATAATGGGGAAAAAAATGGGAAAAATGGGAAAAATGGGGCCAGAGAATGGTGGGGAAAATGGGAAAAGTGGGGAAAAAATGGGGATAAAATGGGAAAAGTGGGGGAAAAAATGGGGAAAAAATGGGAAAAATGGGGGAAAAATGGGGATAAAAATGGGGAAAATGGGGGAAAAAAAGGGGATAAAAATGGGAAAAATGGGGGAAAAATGGGGAAAAAATGGGAAAAATGGGGGAAAAAATGGGGAAAAAATGGGGAAAATGGGGGAAAAAAATGGGGATAAAAATGGGGAAAATGGGAAAAATGGGAAAGGAAATGGAACCAGAGAATGATGGGAAAATGGGAAAAGAAACAGGAAAAATGGGAAAAATGGAGCCAGAGAATGATGGGAAAAAATGGGAAAAGAAACGGGAAAAATGGGGGAAAAAATGGGGGAAAAACGGGGAAAAAATGGGAAAAATGGGGGAAAAAATGGGGGGAAAACGGGGAAAAAATGGGAAAAATGGAGCCAGAGAATGATGGGAAAAATGGGGAAAAAAACAGGAAAAATGGGAAAAATGGGAGAAATGGAGCCAGAGAATGATGGGAAAAATGGGAAAAATGGGGAAAATGTGGGAGAACCAGGTAAAAAATGGGTAAAAAATGGGGATAAAGCTGAGATGATGAGGGAAAAAATGGGGAGAAGCCGGGAAAATTGGGAAAAAATGGGAAAGGCAAAGGAAATGAGGGGGGAGAGGAGGAGGAGGAGGAAGAGGAGGAGGAGGAAGAAGAAGAAGAGGAAGAGGAAGATAAAGACGAAGAAGAGGAGGAGGAGGAAAATGAGGAAAAGGAAGAGGAAGATGAGGAATAAGAAGAGGAAGAAGAAGAACAGGAGGAGAAGAGGAAGAGTAAAAGGAGGAGGAAGAGGAAGAGGAGGAGGAGGAGGAAGATGAGGAGGAGGAGGAAGAGGAGGAAGAAGAGGAGGAAGACGAGGAGGAGGAGAAGAGGAAGAAGAAAAGGAGGAAGAAGAGGAGGAGGAAGAAGAGGAAGAGAAAGAGAAGAAAAAGGAAGAAAAAGAAAAAGAAGAACAGGGAGAGGAGGAGGAGGATGAGGAAGATGAAGAGGAAGAGGAAGAGGAAGACGAGGAGGAGGAGGAGGAGGAGGAGGAAGAGGAAGAAGTAGAAGAAGAGGAGAAGGGGGAGAGGAGGAAGAAGAGGAGGAAGAGGAGGAGAAAGAGGAGAAGAAAAAGAAGAGGAGGAAGAAGAGGAGAAGAGGAAGAGGAGGAGGAAGAGGAAGAGGAAGATGATGAAGAAGAGGAAGAGGAGGAGAAAGAGGAAGATAAGGAAGAAGAGGAGGAGGAAGAGAAGAGGAAGAAGAGGAAGAAGAAGAGGAGGAGGAGGAAGATGAAGAGCAAGACGAGGAGGAGGAAGATGAGGATGAAGAGGAAGAAGAGGAGGAAGAAGAGG